ATATTAAATGAAAAAAAATTAAAAAAAAAAAAAAAAAAAAAAAGAATGTCTCTTGTGTGTGTAGCTACTTTCTTATAAATTCATAACTGCCATTGTTATTTAAACAGATGCATATATACTATATACTATTTGATATATAAATTGATGTAAAAAGTCCATACGTAGACAATTTATATCTGTCTACAGAAGTAATTTCTCAAGTTCATGATAAATATAATTCACTAATTTTGACTGGCGGTCTAAATAAAGGTTTATTTTACTCAGAGCACAGAGTTTATTTTAACACAAGCTTAGTAAATAGGGTTCTTACCCTGAATAGGTTTGGTGTGTTCCTGGATTTCACAGTGTGCCATACCACTCACCACATCCCACACAATAATCTTCCCTGCTGCATCTGCAGATGCCAGGCGAAGAGAATAGGGTGAGCTGAGACTGTGGTGATAGTTTTCTCTGGACCATTTTACCTAATGAAGTAAAAATAGAAAACAACAACAAAAAATATTTTTTTCCCCCCATTTGTATATTCTGATACAGTTACTAAAGTGTTCTGTGTGGTTGTAAGCGTGTTGCTAAGGAGTTGGTCCAGTTAAATGAGCCCACACCTAAGACATCCTTAAGTTAGCATGGCCTCTTTTTAGTAAGAGTCTGGGGGATTTTTTTAAAGTCATCTGATTGGTGACTTTTCAATTATTGTTTAGAAAAGCACTCACTCATCACTCCTTAAAAAAACCACATGATATGAGGTATAATACATGTCAGAAGCAAAAATGATACAAGACAGGTTATGCTGTGAAGTTTTAATGCTCTGGGTTAGTGATGTGAATAATCCCCTAACCCAGAGTTTAAGCACTAGTAAAGTACCACTGAACTCTAATAACAGAAAAGTAACCAAGTACAACCAATAAACCAATAAACAATCACTAAAAAATAAATGTATGTTCAGATATAATCAACAGATATTAAAGGGGGTCATATGCGATTTAAATTTTTCCTTTCTCTTTGGAGTGTTACAAGCTCTTGTTGCATAAAGAAGATCTGTAAAGTTGCAAAGACTAAAGTCTCAAATCCAAAGAGATATTCTTTATAAAAGTTAAGAGTTTTCTTTTCTTTCTTTCTTTCTTTTTTTTAACTAGCAAATTGGATTCTGAAACTGATATTTAAGCAAATTTATTTATTGGCTATTTGCTTTATAACAAGCAAACTGGCTTTAAACAAAAATATCTAGCCATTTGAAATTAGAGGCAACCACTGCATTTTAATCATGATCTGCACGGGCAGTTGTTTTTGATTGTTTGTTGTATTTGATTTAGATTAATTTCAGGATTTAAAACAAAAACAGAATGGTCTGACTTTAGGTGTTATTTATTTATTTGCTACATAAAACATCTGCACGAAACAAAAACAGCAGGTCTGAATGAGACGCACTCTCTGACAGCAGGTGGCGCCTATGAACAGGGTTGCCAGGTTTTCGCAATAAAACTACCGTATTGACCCGAATATAAGACAATGTTTTTTTCTTGGAAATACATCTGAAAAAACGCGGTCGTCTTATATTCAGGGTCTAGACTTTGACATGTCAATACTACACCCACAACAATAGGTGGCACCAAATATGCATAAAACGAGTGTGCCATGAAATACGTAAATGTAATGTGTGTTGTAAAGATTGCGAATAAAAACAAAAGAGAAAGAAAACCTTACAGCTGCATGAGTCGTGACTGTCACGTTAGCCTGATGGGACCAAACTCCCTTTGTGATTTTAAAACATAAGACAGTACCCAGATTTGAAGACTACAGTAAGATTTAACTTCTACTCTTAATAAGATTTTGGTAGGCTACTCTTAGATGGATAGCCTAAATGTCCTAATTCAGATGGGCTACCTGTTTTTTTTTTGTTTTTTTAAAAGTGTATATTTTCTTAATGTAATTGGTGGTACATTTTACTAGTTTTTACCATACTTTCAAAACAAAAATTAAAATAGGATAAATATGCAATATGAAAATAATTGAAGACAAAATGTGTTTTACTGAGAAAAAACAAGATTTGGCTTTTAAAAAGCCTTTTTCCAAAAGGTACATCTGGAAAAAGGGGGGTCGTCTTATAATCAGGGTCATCTTATATTCGGGCCAATACGGTAGTCCAATCGCGTTTCGAGGGGATTTTTCGGCGGGGATCTTCCAGTAAAAATTCACATTCCAGGGACTAAATATCACGTTATTGGGGTCGCTTCAACCCGCAGACATGAACAACAACCTGCGGCAACCAGTGGCGGCTCGTGGGTTTTAAAATAGAGGCGGCACACTAATTGTATTGGTCTGGGATCCCTGCCGATTATTATTATTAGCTTAACCACTTTAAAATGGCTTTTTGGTTGCTTTTAGTCAGAAAACATAAAGAAAACGACATACATACAGCAAGATAATATAACTTCACTTACCTGGCCTATCACTTGAAGCAAACATCCATCCCTTCTTAAAAGTCTGTTAAAAGAGAGCTGCCTGTTGCGCCATTTAATTAAGCCGACTGCTGTAGCCTATATACAGCTTAGGCTGTTTTCCCAAAATGTGTATATATACTGTTTGAATGACAGCTTGGTAAATCTGTTGGCAATCAAATATTCAATATCGCTACTCATCATAATTACTTGGTACATTATCAGCGCAGCGGCAGACGTTCAAACTAATATCACGTAATATCACGTCTCTATGATAATTGGTTGATATCAGAAGGGAGGCTAGTCTCCCTTACGAGGTTTCTTTTCTCAACACTCCTCAGCGCTGAAAGTGAACATTTGATGGTGATTGGTTAATTTTCTTTACCAACGGAGGCACGAGAGCTCAGCGCTCACCCGGCCTCCCCCTCCCCTTCTCTATCATTTAGCGGTTGTAATTACATCAGCAGATCCGGCGCATTCGTGACAGAAAAGCAGCGCTTTCACATTAAGGTATTAAAACTGTGAAATTACAAACAAAAAATACACATTCTGAGACATGAACTGAAATGAATTGTGAATTTTATTCACAATTCCTCCCATTTTCACCTCAAAATTATGGGGAAGCTGTGCCTCCCCTGCCTCCCCCGACGAGCCGCCACAACAGTGTTAAAGTAGCCTAATTCCGCGGGAAAACCGCGGACTTGGCAACACTGCTTATGAAACGACCGCAATATAGCGTTTCCTTGTTTACCGCTGTAAACAAAGCAGAGTTGCGCCTTTATATGGAGAAGAAAATGCCATTGCCATCGAAACTTTTCTCAAGACAGTTCCCTTCAGTGATACATTAATATAACCCCATAAATGTAATGCATTTTTGTACTTATTTTAGTGTTTTTTTTCGGGATCTACTGGGACAGTGATAAAGATCTACCAGTTGATCACGATCGACGGGTTGGCGACCACTGGTATAAAGGATGAATGTGCACTGCAGGGATGAAAAACAGATGCAGAGAGCAGGACACCATACTGTTGGTAAATGCAGGCTTGTTTACAGCCTTTGCACCTTTTTCCTACACCTCATGATGCTTTGCTTGAATTATGGGATCAACTTCCATAAAATTGTAAACAATCAGCAAAAGATTCACTCTATGAACACTAAGTATTTTCAAAAACTGGGTACAACGAAGTAACATCCTACTCACAATCGATCATTAAAAGGAAATTTAAAAGTATAAAGGCATTAACAAATTACTACAACAGGTCATGAATAACCCCAAATGCTTTTCTAGGGCTGCCCTCAACTAAAGATTTTTCCTGGTCGACTAGTAGTCGCTCATTTTAAGCATTAGTCGAATAATCGCACATTTATTAATAAACCATTTAAATCATCATAATGAGCCTCTAATTGTCTACATAACCTACAGGGACAGAGCGCATTTTGGCCATGCCCAAATGCGGCGGGGGGGTGAACAATCCAACGCTCTCCATTGACTTTGTATTGCGGGAAGATGCCTCCTTGTTTCTGACTTATAACAAAAAACTGAACAATGCCTAAAAGCTGCTAAGTGACAAGGTGTACAGTAAACAAGCTAAAAAAAAAACAGAGCTACGTTTTTAATAAGCTGTCGACACAAAAAAAAAAGAGCGTTTAAGGACGCAAATAGTTGTAGATGTCAGGTTATTTCACGTTTGGCAATTCAGTTGGATCATTTCTCAAACAAAAAGAAGGTAAGGAAAAGGCGTACTGACATAGACCAATAAAATATAGTTTCTCAATATATCTCCTCCTCTCAGGTTCACATGGTGTAATAATCCTTTGATATGGTTAAAAAATAGCACAGGTTGAGCTTGATAGAGCAAAACGCGTCATGGTTTTAAAAGTTTTAAATGAATATACATTATCTCACAGAAGTGAGTACACCCTAGTGCTGGGCGGTAGGACCAAAAATTTATATCACGGTATTTTTCAAAATTATTCCGGTTTCACGGTACATGACGGTATTTTTTTTCCATGCATGACTGGGTGTTAACCATATTTTCTACTGATTGAGAGAGGAAATACTGCCGTATATTGACTTAGAATGCCCATTTTAATGTCATGATGAGTGAATATTGTCAAAAAATACCACACTAAATAGCGACTAAACACAACCCCTTTTAATACATGTTAACCAGGAGTCATTCTCATTTATAATCGCGACATCGTCTGATAAAATCAACATGCATCTACACTAAAGAGTGGCTATGCGGTTGTTTTGGCTTCTCCGGGAAAGTCAGACCACGGAACAGCACTGGCGAAATCTTCCAACTGAACCATAGCTAAGGTTTATCCAAAAAAGTCGCTAGGTTTGTCAGTATGAATATTCTATGGAAAAAATCCGCTAAAAGGGTCTGAAAGTTGCTAAATCTAGTGCTAAAGTCGTGCTTGTGTGTGTGTGAGACGTGGGAGCTGATGGCAGGGGGGCAGTGGATATTTGTGGTGGTCAATGTGGATATTGTGGATGAGTTCTTCTGTGTCATCATGCTCTATTAATTCTACAGCTTCAGTTTCGGAACTTTCACGCTTAGTAACACATACAGCTGTTCCCTCACCACAGTGCAACCGTGAAAAGGGACCCCTTTCAAACAGTGTCGCGTTCCGAACGTTATTTAAGTGACATACACCAGTATTGCGGTATTTTAAAAATTCATATCATAACAAAAATAAACACCGGTATATACCGCCCAGCACTAGTACACCCCTCACATTTTTGTAAATATTTTATTATATCTTTTCATGTGACAACACTGAAGAAATGACACTTTGCTACAATGTAAAGTAGTGAGTGTCCTGCTTGTATAACAGTGTAAATTTGCTGTCCCCTCAAAATAAGCAAAGTGTAATTTCTTCAGTGTTGTCACATGAAAAGATATAATAAAATATTTACAAAAAAGTGAGGGGTGTACTCACTTCTGTGAGATACTGTATATTAGTGCTGGGCGGTATACCGGTTCATACTGAATACCGGTTTTTATTTTTGTTATGATATGAATTTTGAAAATACCGGTATATGTCACTTAAACAACGTTCGGAACGCGACACTGTTTGAAAGGGGTGTTGCACTGTGGTGAGGGAACAGCTGTATGTGTTACTAAGCATGAAAGTTCCGAAACTGAAGCTGTAGAACTAATAGAACGTGATGACACAGAAGAACTCATCCACAATATCCACATTGGCCGCCACAAATATCCACCGCCCCCCTGCCATCAGCTCCCAACGTCTCACACACACACAAGCGTGACTTTAGCACTAGATTTAACAACTTTCAGACCCTTTTAGCAGATTTTTTCCCATAGAATATTCATACTGACAAACCTAGCGACTTTTTTGTATAAACCTTAGCTATCGTTCAGTTGAAAGATTTCACCAGTGCTGTCCCGCGAATGCGAGGCCTGACTTTCCCGGAGAAGTATCACCTCTCTCGCCGTCTGTTAGCAGTGCATTCAGTTGGCCGCACCGCAGCCGACTTGTCAATAAATGACTACAAAACAGTGTTTCCTAACACCTGTCGCTTACTGATTGTTTGGAATTATAAATATTATAAATATTATAGTCTGTTAATATCACATGCACTTTTTTTTTTTCTGTCACTCAGACGCAGGTAGTGCGCTGCATGAGACAAAAAAGTAATATAGCCAAAACAACCTCTTTAGTGTAGATGCATGTTGATTTTATCAGACGATGCCACCATTATAAATGAGAGTGACTCCTGGTTAACATGTGTTAAAAGGGGTCGTGTTTAGTCACTATTTAGTGTGGTATTTTTTGACAATATTCACTCATCATGACAGTAAAATAGGGCATTCTAAGTCAATATACTGCAGTATTTCCTCTCTCAATCAGTAGAAAATATGGTTAACACCCGGTCATGCATGAAAAAAAAATACCGTCTTGTACCGTGAAACCGGTATAATTTTGAAAAATAAGAAATACAGTTCTTTATTTATAAAAAATAAACAAATATTTTCTGTGAAATTCAGTAATCAAGTTAATTCTGTAAAAGTAGTTATACCATTATAATCTTGCCTGCTGAAAAAAACAAACAATAGAACCCCTCCCAAAACACAATAACAAATTTAATGGATTTCAGGGTTATAATGGGAATTTGTTTGGTTTTAATGTAAACTATAATGGTGTCTATTTGATGGATTCTATTGGTGGCATGTAATCTGGCAGATGGCAACCAATAGAACAACAATAATTCCTATTGGAATAATGCCCAAAACAAAAAGGAATTTTGTAATGGTTTAATGGAAACTATAAGAATTTCTGTGATGGTTTCTATTGTTTTTTTCAGCAGGGTAATGATACCCATACTGTGCTGCACATTACTGCCAATATTGAGCTGAAGCTTGACTTTGCAAATTTAAAATCGCAAATCGCAATATCTGTCCAAAAAAAAATCGCAATTTCATATTTTCCCCCAAATCGCACAGCCCTAATTACTTCCCATAAAAAGTAACTAAGTAACATAATTAGTTACTTTTTTTATGGAGTAACGCAATACTGTAATGCATTACTTTTAAAAGTAACTTTCCCCAACACTGAATATAACTACAGTGTTGTAAACGTACATGCATATTTTTTATTCCATAGTAAGGGCAATTCATACAATACATTTAAACTGTGTTACTTTAAGACCATCTCCGAACTTTCTACCACTACTCTGCTGTTCTTCCTGTACACCTTGATTGACAGAAGTCTCGTCTAGTCAGCAGTGAGTAATCTATTCTCACACCAATGGCGCGGTCTCAAACTATACCTACCTCCTCCGGTTTGTCTGATTTGTCATTGTGTTTTCTGACTTGTTTTAATGTTTGCGGAATTGTTGTGTTTTCTGATTTGTTATTTTGTTTCTTTAGATTTGCATTTGCGTTTGTAATTTTGTTTTCAGAATTGTGATTTGTTTTGCACTTCTCGGCTACCGTACTTCTCTGATGGTAAATGTTCCTTTGGTATTAAGGCAAATTAACCAAGGAAAGCATAAGTCTACTATTCAACTTTCTGTTTTGGTCAAATGAACAATGCTGTGAGACAGTGTGTGAACAAACATTTAAACCCCACCTTGACCACACTGGCTTTGTGTCTCTCCAGGACCTGAATGGTCTGAGCCGTTTTTGGATCAATGATGAGGATACTAGAGTGACAGCCTTGAGCGATCAGTCCCTGCCATCCCCTAAGCAGAAAGAGAGGAAACAGTATCAGAGGAAAAGGAAAACAGTATCAGAGAGAACCTAACAAGTTGAGAAATTACAATGTATATAAACACATTTATAAAACATTTTATAAAACAAAGGCCTATTACTTTCTCTCTCTGGGAAATTTTAATTGTCCACCATCAAAAATCGTCATATTGCACACCCCTAACTTTACATCTTTTTTTCTAAACAGTATAATAGGGTAATTCCGCGTCAAATCAACCAAATTTCAACAAGTATAGCAATGAAAGCAATGAGTAAATTTCACTTGACAAATTTCACCTGAGATTCAGGGTCAAATTACAGGGGGGTAAAAATGACTTCAGAAAGATGGCAGCATCATGTTATTTTCACTCAGAGATTTGTAATTTGTATTTTCACACAGAGATTGGTAAATTTATTCAAATCTGTTGAATTTATGTTTTTTATGAATTTATGAATTAATATGTTTATCTTTGTTGTATTATATGCCAACGTTGACTGTTCAAAAATGGAAAAAAAGCACTTTTTTATTTCTTTTTCTTCTCTCTCCAAAGTTTGCATGTCTGTAACTCAAGAAGTTTTAAAGATATCTCAATGCCTTTTTAGATTTTGGATTTTAACAAACTTTTCTTTTGGTATCTTCATTTTTAAGGCTCTATATGGTTCATTTACAGAGCTAAAGGGCTCTCAACATGGCAATTTTTAATTGTACACAAATTCAACAAATTGGACATTGAGTTGCATTTGGCTCCCCCCTGTCTCTGGAAATGAAACAAATGGGACCTTAAAAATTAAGATTACAAAAGAAAAGTTTATCAACTCATTCCCCATCAAACACAGAATTTTCCAGGTTCCTGTGTTTTCACTGTTATACACTTGGCGCTATTATGCACCTCCTGGATGAGTCCAGAATCTCCCGATCAAAAACATAGCCTATGCGAGGAAGACGCAGAAATGAGCGATCTCATATGTAAGCAGATGCATATGAAAAATAATGCAATCATCAACAATAAACACTATATAAATAAAAACTGCCTAATGTTACCGAGTAAAATGTCAATCGAGGGAGTGCTAAAGGACTGTGCATGCTTTGGGGTTGCTAATGGAAGCGATCTACTGCATATTTGCTTTGATCATCTTAATGAATGTGATCCATATGTAAAATTTGATAAAAACCCGATTTTCTCAGCTTTTTGCTCAAATGTTGCTTTTTTTATGAAGCACACCTACGTTAAAGTGCTGATAAAAAAAAAAAAGCTTGAAGCTAGAATTTTTTTTATTTTTAAGTAGAGGTTCTGTTCTTTATTTTGATGAATTGCATGTGCAGATATTCATACAACAAAATATTCTGTGGGCCATACAATTTTAGGGGGAAAAAAAAAGATCAGAAATGCTGGTGGTAGCAGGAAACTTTTTTCAAAAACGCCGGCAGGGAAAGAGTTAAGAATCAGAATTTAAAATGATATTGATATATCTTTAATATTTCTTGAGTTACAGGCACACAAACTTTGGAAAAATAATATTTATGGCACACAGACAGATCTGTTCTATGCAGTTGTTTTGATACAGGGAAACCAGATACATTTCTAGTTTCAACATTATTTGTTCTTCAGCCGGGGACATTTGGTTGTGTTGACACAGGATACACACTAATTTGTTCAGCAAGAATGTACATATTTTTTTTTAATGGTAACGAGACAAGTGTTGTCATGTAATGCGCGTAATCACAACAATTTGTATTATTGCCATTGACGTGATGAATGTGAATACACTGAATACTCAATATATAATGCAACATCACGCAATCAAAAGAAGATTAACGTGACAGCTCGATTACGCTAAATTTCGATTTCTATTTAAAAATTTAAATTTACCGCATGCCTACGCAAGCAACGCGTTGTTGTAAACTGCTAACTCTGTGGGTTTGTTGACAGTCTGCAAAGCTAAAGCTAACGTACTCACCAGTCTACTGCTGTCTTGTTCTGTAAATTAAGGGTTCCGGTCAATGTTCGTGCAGCCAGTTTAATATTGACCGTGTATGGAATCATGGTTGAAGCCATACGTCAAAACTACATGAAAAAGTGGAACGTTTTGGTTCGTTAAATGTAATGAATTGTCCAGCTGTGTTTTTAGGAAATGTTTGCGGTGCGTTTCATTACTGTTCCGTCCAGAAAATGTTCCGTCAAATCTATAGTACCCCCAGGTTACAATGCCGTAATTGTCATGTACCTTAATATACTGAATACAAAAATAAACTCACTGTTTTTAAAAACGTGTATTTTTTATTATTATCACACTAATATATTTTGCCATTTTGTGTAATATCACTTTAGGTAGGAAGTCGGTTCCTTATCCTATTAATGTAAAACTGTAAGATTGATATAGTTTATTTGTCTTACTTTGTTTAACTGTTCACTTGTTATTGCCTTGTTTAGCCGCTGAATGTTTGACTGATGTTATAGAAAATGACAGAATTTTTTGCCCCTATTTTTTGCCCATTAAAGAAGTTATAGGCCTACAGTTTTATACCTGCTTAAGTAAATTTCCGAATGTCTAATATCCTTTTACCTATAAAAATCCTACGTTTAAACACAATACATTATAATCTGCAATATAATATCTATAATCTCTATTATAGATTAAATTCTCAAAATGTATACGGTCAAGCTAATAATAAAAAGTGCATGTGTGCAGGGACAAGAGAAAGAACGCGCTTGTCATGGTTCGAGATTTTTTTTAATTTTATTTATGAATTTTTTTGTACTTAGGTGTTCATAAGGTGTCTTTGTGTGTTTCTTTGAATAATGATTTTCTGTATTTTTATTTTATGTTTCATGTAGATGTGTTTAGAGCAGGTTTATTCGTAAAAAAAAAAAAAAAAACTTTTTAGATATTGCATACCTTACATACTTCCAGGGGTGTAAAGTAACGAATTACAAATACTCTCGTTACTGTAAGTAGTTTTTTCTCAGGAATTGTACTTAATGAAGTAGTTTAAAAACACTTTTACTTGAGTACATTTTTAGTACTTTTACTGTGCTATTTTCCCTCAACCTGCCGTTGCTCCCAGAGATGATCTTACTATATAGGAGATGAGAGGGTCTGTATTACCAGAGTCCCTTTAAAGGGTTAGTTCACCCAAAAATGAAAATTAGCCCATAAATTACTCACCCTCAAGTCATCCTAGGTGTATATGACTTTCTTCTTTCAGACGAATCCAGTCTGAGTTATATTAAAAATTGTCTTTGATCTTTCAAGCTGTTTAATGGCACTCAGCGGGTGTTGCATGCATCGGTCCAAAAGAAGTTAAATAAAAAGCGCCTATCCATTAATAAAAAGTGTCTCACACGGCTCCGGGGAGTGAACAAAGGCCTTCTGTAGCGAAGCAATGCGTTTTTGTAAGAAAAATATCCATATTCAAAACGTAATAATCACTTTAATCTCACTGCGCTCACTGTTGTAAACAGAAGCAGTTCCGGGCGGATGACGTATGAGGTCAGCGTTGCACATGAGTCGCTCAGAAGTGACGCACGCGGAAGCGCAGGAGAGATCAAAACAAAACAACGTCACTTATTAGAAGTACAAAACGAGGATTTGTAAAGAAGAATGTCGGAGGATTTCGATATAAGACAAGAGGAGACTGATTTTCCTTTGCTAAAGTAAGGAAACTTCGCTTCCTTTGCTCCTGTAAACAAACGCTGGTTTTCACGAGACTCAGCATGCGCAGCGCTGACCTCATACGTCATCCTCCCGGAACTGCTTCCGAGTACAACTGTTGGTGCAAGCTACATTAAAGTGATTATTACGTTTTGAATATGGATATTTTTCTTACGAAATCAAGTCCCGCCCTCTCATTTCAGATGCCGTTTCACTCGGATATACGTCACAGTAGAGAAGAAAATACAATCGCAACTTCCGTTTCATGCCAACTTTAAAAACGCCCTTAGCGCACACTAAATCCACACTATCTCGAATACCGCTCCGGAGCGGAAAATTTTATTGTCATCTGTTATAAAGACACTGAACAGACATTTAGAAGTTGATTTTAAAATGCAAAGTATTGAAAATAAAAATAAAGCTCTGTAAACACTTGCATTTTTACAACACTATAAGTGTGTCCTATCAGGTAATGAAAAGTTCTACGCACACTTGTGGTCTTCATGCTCACTTGAACACTTGGAACAAATACAGGAAATACGTCATATAAGTATAAGTAGTCAAGTGGTCAAGCGCAAAGACCGCAAGTGCGGGTATTTGGACAAGGCATTAGTGTTGCTGGGCGGAGTAAACATGAATATTCATTAGTTTCCTGTTTCGTGTTAAAGCGACTCTGAAAATATTAGTGCGTTTTCACCGGATCGCAAAAACTTACAAGAAGTTAATTATGTTTCAGCTTCGAACGAAGTTAATCTTTGAATATAATCGTTCGTTTGTGCACAAAATGGTATAATTGGTTTCCTGTGTTATGTTTATTCAACGATTACAGCCACTGATTTGCCAGAGGTATCGTTAGGATACGCTACAAGTAAATTGACCAACAACTGTTAAATATTTTCTTATATTCCTCTGTATGTCATTTGCTAACGTTTTCTAAGTGTGTAAGCCCACATATGGTGGCATAATAAAACTTGCTCACTGACTAAGGTGAGAAGTAAGGAACAATATAAAGACTCTTACTTATTATGAAGTAATACATTTTTAACAATTTTTTCTCCTTAAAAAAAGGTATTTTTATGAAAAAAAATGTATTTCCAGAGTGTCCCATGGAAGTGCATGACAGCCTATAACCAGATGGCAGTTCATGTGAAGCATGTTTGTTTGCAATGAATGTATCTGTTACGAATCAATAGAGTATGCTACTTGCACTTTACCTGTTATTTCCCTAGGTTGCAGAAGCACTGCTTGAGTTGACTTGAGACTTGAAATTCTTCATGTTATATATGAGGCCACTATTGCACACATACATGAAGACATGCATGCACAGCAAATTCATCAGTGTTAATTAAACTCTTACAGAGTTAAAATCAACTCAAAGTAAGTGTACATTGTCCCAACATTTTTTGAGTTAAATTAACACTTTTAAAAGTGTTACTGATTTAACAATACGACAGAGTTATATTTACACTGTAAAACAACTCTGGTCCATACCACAGGGAGTTAGTTTTTCTTTAACACACAAGTAAAGAGGGACAATTTAACACACTTAAGATGTATTTTAACTTTAGATATTTTTAACTCCAGTGTAAGATGGAGTACAGTAATGGAGTACATTACTGTACTCCAACCAGGTTAAATTAGGATAATTGACAGTAACTGTCAGGAAATAATTTGTGACAACTTGCAGAGTTGCATTGATAACAACATTGAGAGTACATCAAAAAAATCCATAAAGTTAAATTCAAATTTAGTCTGGGATCACAGTAGAATTCTGTTTATTCTACAACGTAAAAATAAAGGCAAAAGGCAAACTAGTTCTTTATTAATGAACAAGCCACTTTACATCATAGAAGGTTCACTTTTAAAATAAATGATGAAGGCACAACACAGACATTTCTATCATAAGAAGACAGAAGATAAGCTGCTTATCAAATGGTCTGTAATACTTCAAGTCCTGTACAGGTCAGTGAATGTAAGTCGCTAAATGTCAGTGAAGTTGAGTCAATATACCTTCAATTTTGCAGCACAGTACAGCAGTGCTTGAGTCTACACAACATTCAGCACATGACAAATTGCAGGATATGTGGATCAGTTGTGTCCAGTTGCAAAGAGTAAACGTTCTCAGAATTAATACTTTTTTTTTTTGGTCCGATACAGGGAATGGTGGATTGTGTGTATGACGACCATCAGAATGTGTACTTTATCAATGTAATGGTTAAACAAATCAAGTGCAAAATATAAATAAATATGTATGCTATATGATATAAATGTTGTATTATTTGACCAGTCTTAAAGTTCCTGAAATCCACATTTTTTTTGGAATCAGGATAATCAAAGGTATCTCAATCCAACTAAAAAGGTTTAAATAACACATCCTGAAGGGTTTCTCCGGATCAAAACCAAGATTGAATTACATGATTTAATCCAATTATCAGATTTGCAATTTATATACAGTATATATGGTTTACTAACTGTTACAATTTCTTCCAAAGTGTGTTACTGAATTAAAATGTTTTTCACTGGGTTAAACCAAGCACAACCTAATAAAACATTTCATGGGTAAAGGGTTTTGGCAAAAATAACATGTTGGTGAATATTCTACTAATATTAAAAACATGTGGATCATCCTTGAATGTCTTATTCTGCAATGGATATAAATGATCTGGTCCCATTGACTTGGAAGTAGGATTCTTCTTTTCATTGAGTTTGTTCATGGTGTATAAATCTCTGTTTGCCATTTGTTGTTCATATAGGAATTTATTATAGGTTTTAGATCCATATAAGAGATATTACTTACCACAGAAATCCTATGACGTGTGCTTGGCTTGTGTTGATCAGTATCCCTAAACACCTATAGCCTACAAAGACATTTGTGTAGCTTTCACCTTCTTTTAAACATGACCATGCATTTTATATTCATACAGGTGTGTGGTAAATGTAATTTATGTCATGCCTACATCACATGTGTTAATAAAACTTTAACACAGAATCAGTTGCTGTCTTTATTCAGCCTCCTAAACAAACGACACACACATCGTGTGTATCCCCTGCCGCCAGATATCGTGGGCAGGGAGAAACACAGCGTTTGTAATGCCGTTCGCTCGCCATAGACTTTCTCATTGTTTTATATATATGAGTGCTTGTGCAGACAGGCAACAGTAAATAGACAGACATACACAGAGCGCTACTGAAGAGCAGAAGCTGGTTTGCGCCCGGCCGGATGTGCTTTTATGCTTTCTGGTGCTTACGTCACCCTGCTCGTGACGTCTCGCTGCTCCATTGGACGGATTTGACACGTGCTTCAGAACGTGTCACGCAAGGGCGTTCCCAAAGCGACTCGACGCAGCTCGAGTTCCTGAAGGGGAACTACTTTTATCTTTGACATGAAAACATACACATTACTGTATGGTTTATTTTAGACATTTGTTATTAAAATATTAAACATTTTAATTGTTATATATATATATAAAACATGATGATCATTTAAAATGGAAATGGAATTCCCATT